GTAACGGGGGCTCAGGAGCACGGTGAGAGTAACGGGGGCTCAGGAGCACGGTGAGAGTAACGGGGGCTCAGGATGGTGCAACGGTGAGAGTAGCGGGGGCTCAGGAGCACGGTGAGGGTAACGGGGGCTCAGGAGCACAGTGGGGGTAACGGGGGCTCAGGATGGTGCAACGGTGAGAGTAACGGGGGCTCAGGAGCACGGTGAGAGTAACGGGGGCTCAGGATAGTGCGAGAGCAAGTGAGGGAGGACGGAGCTGTGTTGTGGGGCGGCGTCAGGACACGTTTAATTAATTAGCCCTGTAGTCATTCACCGTGTAAGCAGAGAACGTCTTCCTGTTCCAGGCGCTGAGAGGCTAGGGGTTCATTCATGAACAAGACTAGCCCTGTCCCTTCTCCCATGGAGCTCACAGCCTGGGGGCAAAAAGACATGTAGCTAATGACAGTGCAGAGGGATAAAGTAGGGGACATTGAGGGTGCTCTGGAGCACTGAAGGGGAGGTACCCCAATAAAGGAAGACTTGCTAGGGGAAATGCCTTTCTAAATTGAGACCTAAAATGTGAGTCAGGGGTTACCACTCCCTCCCCAAGCCCCCAGAGAGGTAGGGGCCAGCCATTTGTTGGGTTCTGACCATCCCTTTAGAAAGCAAACGCCTTAAAGACAGTAAACGAGTCTCCTTCAACTCTGGGCCCCCTGCCAGGCAGAGGAGGTGTGGAGTAAATGCTTACAGGTGCCATTTGTCGTGATTTGGGGGGTGAGGTGGGGAGGCCGGGTGTATGGGTGGCCTCACCTCCAGGGTATAATGGCAGGACTGGGGTCTGCTCAGTTCCTGGCTGTACTCTGCCCTGTGTTCTGGGACACGTGGTGGTGTCGTTCAGCCCTGGACAGCGAGTCGGCCTCCAGCAGCATCCGCTTCAGCAAGGCCTGCCTGAAGAACGTCTTCTCGGTCCTGCTCATCTTCATCTACCTGCTGCTCATGGCTGTGGCTGTCTTCCTGGTCTACCAGACCATCACAGACTTCCGTGAGAAACTCAAGCATCCTGTCATGTCTGTGTCCTACAAGGAGGTGAATCGCTATGATGCCCCAGGTAAGGCTGCCCTGGACCAGGCATCAGGATCCAGACCTGGATCTGGGGTGGGCACAGTGCTGGTCACCGGGGTGGGGCAGGGGAGGGCCAGCGTGTCTGCCTGTAGACTCCACACCCATGGAGTGACTCTCTGGCAGAGCGTGGCATGTGCCAAGGAGAGGGGCGGGCAGAGCACTGGGGGGCCACTGCAGAACCAGGTGGCCAAGGAAAGCTTTGTGAGAGGTGGAATTGGAGGTGAGCCTTGAAAAGCACAGAGACGGAAGAGTGTTTGTGTGGGGGGATCAGTAGAAGCAGAGGTGAGTGTAGGGAGACAGCGCTTCTCAGAGAAGCAGCCTGGCCTGGCTGCAGCCAGCAGGCCAGTGAAGAGGAGAAGCACGGGGTAAGCTGGCAAAGGAGACTGGGGCTGGACTGTGGGGTGGGGAGGGAGGCAGGGGCAGGCAGGGCCTGTCAGAGGAGGGCAGAGGCCCTGCCAGGCCACACCACGCGTCTCTCCTGTCCCATTGGGTATCTGGTGCCAAAGCGGGAGTCCATCTCTGCCACAGAGCAGACAGCTGGCTCTGCCCAGAACAGACTCGTGTGCTCGGGGGTGGAGGGCTGGCACTGGGCTCCTGGAAGCCGTGGGAGCCAATAGGAGCACGGGCTCTGGGGCTCAGTCTCCTGCCCACCCTACTGTCTGCCACCTGCTCTGCCCCAGCTGCCCGTAGCCCGCTGTCCCGGCTCCGTCCCCGCCTTTGCCCCTCTTCCCCCTGGGGTCGGCTTCAGTCTTCCTCTGTTGTTTTTTGGTGTCCTGGTTTCCCTGACCTCTGTCTGCCTCTGATGCCATTGTTGCTGCCAGCATGTGTGCCTTGGGGGCTCAGCATCTGCTGTCAGAGGGTCTTCAACTTGGTGCCTCAGCTGGGGGAAGAGGGACTGTTGGGAGCTCCCGTCAGAGCAGGAGGTGGGAGAAAAAATGAGATCTGGGGAATCCCACGCCGGGACCTCTGGTGAATCCGCAGGCGTGTGGCGGCGCAGGCGTGTGGCGGCGCAGGCATGTGGCGGCGCAGGCGTGTGGCGGTGCCAGGCTGTGTCCAGGGAGACCCCCCCGGGGTGTGTGGAGCAGGATTCTGGAGTGGAGTGGTTTTTGGTGTGGACATGGGGACTGCTGTGTCCCAGGCCAGGAGAGGGTGTGCTGAGGAGGGGATTGTCTCCTCCATTAGACCAGGGCTTCGGAGGGCAGGGCGTGTGGCTCTGGAGCCCCTCCCCCCTCGTCTGCAGTCACCCAGGGGTCCGGAGCATGGGTGGTTGGTGGGCGTGAGATGATTTTCAGGCAGGTGGTCAGGGACTGCGACCTCTGACATCTGCTTTCCCTGTTTGTGCCCAGGTCTTGCCCTGTACCCCGGTCAGGCTCAGCTGCTCAGCTGTCAGCACCATTACGAGGTCATTCCTCCTCTGAGGAGCCCTGGCCAGCCGGGAGCCATGAACTGTACCACCCACAGGATCAACTACACCGACCCTTTCTCCAAGCAGACCGTGGTAGGTCCTGTCTGCCCAACGGGTCTGGGCAGGGTGCTGCTCCCAAGTCCCTCTGTCCCATCTTCTTCCTCACACTCCCGTGGTTTGCATCCTGAGATGAAGCAGACCTGAGGGTGTGACAGGTAGAGATGCGGCCACGGCCGGCTTGCCCCTACTCGGGCGGGTGGGGGGGATGTCAGAGGCTGTCAGCCTTGCTGAGCCCTCGGGGATTCCTGCTGAGATCCTGTCCTTGACTTAAGGATGACCGTGTTAAAGAGCAGGGCAGGTGGGACATAGCAAAGTGGTTCCCATACTGACTGCTCGGCAGAATCTCTGGGATGCTTTGAGAAAAGTGTAGATTACAGGTTCCCTGTGAGGCCAGCCGAATCCTAATCTCTTGGAATGGGACCTGGGAGTCCATAGTTTGAAATAAATATACTAATGTAAAGAGGGTACCTTGGTCTGGGACTCAGGGTTCCTGGCTGAGTCCCTGGCCCTGCCATTACACAGACTGACAGACAGACACACAGACACAGACAAAGGCAGGGAGGGTTTTGAAAAGGAAGCAACTCCTGCACAGGGATCTGAAGGCAGGGTAGGAAGTTTCTGTCTTTAATCCTATATTCTTGATTCGGAAAGGATCGAAGGAGCCCTGGTTGTTCAGCGGTTAAGAGCTTGGCTGCTAACCCAAGAGTTGGCAGTTGGAATCCACCAGCTGCTCCTTGGAAACCCAATGGGGCAGTTCTGCTCTGTCCTGTAGGGTTGCTATGAGTCAGAATCGACTCGACGGCAGTGGGTTTGGTTTGGGTAAGTACAGTTCCCAGGTCAAAGAGAGGAAGGAAAGCGTTTCCAGGCCAAGGAACGCTATGCACCAGGACACAAAGGGATGAAACAGCGTGTTGTGACTGTGCCTCTGTGGTCTCGTGTTTCTGGAGGGTCAGGTGGCCCCCAGCGGTGGGAGAGGAAGCTGTGGACGTCAGTAATGGCCAGGTAGGAAAAGTCCGTGTGTCGGGCTGTGGAGCTGGATGTGCGTCACTGACGGAACCATCGATGGGGTCTGAGGTGGGAGAGAACTGTGGACAGTTAACATGCCTGGCTGCTCACCGAAAGGTTAGAGGTTGGAGTTCACCCCGAGGCACCTCAGAAAAAGGCCTGGTGCTCTACTTCTGAAAAATCAGCCAGTGAAAACCCTGCAGAGCAGTTCCACTCTGACACACACAGGGTCGTCATGAGTCAGGATCAGCTCAGTGGCAACTGGTTTAATGGGTTTTAAGAAGAAGTATCACCAGTGGACGAGAAGTTTTGAGGAAGAGTGTAAAATGTAGTAGCAGATTGGATCAGATTGCTGGAGTAAAAAAATTAGAGAAAAATCCATAACCCGAAACAGATTCAGGAGAGGCCTACCATAGAGATGGGTACTCTTCTTCCAGCTCCAAGCTCTGAGTCCGCACGTTCAAAGAGCAGCATTGGCCAGAGGGCCGCCATCGGGTCATAACAGTGGGGCTGCCTGGTACCCCAGAGCCATTGGGGTGGTGGTTGCTTCCTGAAAGGTTCTGGAACCATTCTGTGAATAAGCTAAAGAGCAGAGCAGAACTTGGGCTTGGACCTCCACAGTGGACAGTGCCAGGAGGCAAAAGGAAATGAACTTCTTCCCAGAAGTGGTGCACGCTGACAGGAACCCGGCCCACTTACACGACGTAGTCACAGCCACAGTTGACGCCACAGCAGTAGGTTAGACATTTGCAGGAGATCAACCAGATGGAAGAAAAGGATCGACGTGAACAAACTGAGTGGACGCTAATGTGTGTGCTGTCCAGACACTTCCGCTCAGAGCCTCAGTGGGGTCCTGCTGGGCGGAATCGGGAGAGCCCTGCCTTGGCACCAAGTTAGGCCTTATTTCTTCTCTGGGAGGGACGCCCTTATCCTCGATAGGCCTTGTCCTCTGAGAGGTTCTTTGTTGGTTTTCCTCTGTGGCCCTGTCTGAAGTGGACGTTAGAAAATACTCCTCCTTGGGGGCTACCCAGCTCCTCCACCTTCGGGCTTGAGCAGCCAGGACTTGAGGGTTTGCTACTCGTTATTGTCATCCTCACCGCCTTTGTTCCCAGGAAGAGTTCTTCAGACACGTGTAGACCCTTCTGGTCCCGTGCGTGTGACGGGGACCACAGGCAGGAGTAGCATCTGGTCAGAATCCTCACATCTTCAGAGGCTCGCTGGTTTTCTGTTCTTTCTTCTAGACCCAGCTCTTGTACCTCAACTTGGTGGTCGTTAACTTTTCCAGATACATTGCTCGGCACAGTGAGGGTCACTGTCTTTCCAGTCTGCAGTATCCGCATCCGTTTCCTCGTGCCCACTGTTTTCCCATCACCCAGATGTTAAGCTTTTGGTATCATAACACTCTAGTTCCAGGTAGCCGTTAATACACTAGTCCGGGTACAGGCTAAACTTCTGTGTAAAAAACCACCCCCAGTGCGCAGTGGCCGAGACTAGGTGGAAGTCTGTTGCTCTCTGTCGGGCATGTGGGCAGTGGGCACAGTTGGCAGCGCTGCCCCTCAAGGTTGTCCAGCTTCTCTCGTCACTGTGCTGTCCCCTGGGTGTTGTGCTGGTCTACATGGTCAGACCTGGCTCTGCCGTGCGTACACGTGTCCGCTCCCGGGAAGCTGAGGCCCAGTGGAGGGCAGGCCGTTCCCTCTCAGGGAAATGAGGCAGAGTTACACAAGCCACTTGCACCAGTCCAGCAGCTTCTTCACGGGGCCATATCTGGGCAGAAATGAGGCCCCGCTGGGCGGCCACAGATCCTGCTAAAATCTGGGGCTGGGAATCGGTTGTCACATTGAGAGAAGACGTGGGTAATGGAGGCTGGGGGCAGTTAGCAGTCTCTGCTGCACACATGACATGTCATGGTAAGGCTGAAAATACATAGGTGGGGAAAGACCTTTCGCAGAAATGCAGCTATAACCAGGAAAAGTGGAGTGGTAACATTAACATCAGTTAAATGGAATTCAAAGTGCAAAGGATTAAAAGAGGGATGTTTAGTTTTGATAAAAGGTCCACCTCCACTATTCTTCACTGAGAAGATTTAACAGTCATAAATCTGTACGTAGAAAACAAAAAAACCAAATCCGTTGCTGTCGAGTCGATTCTGACTCATAGCGACCCTATAGGACAGAGCGGGACTGCTCCATAGGGTTTCCAAGGAGCAGCTGGTGGATTCGAACTGCCGACCTTTTGGTTAGCAGCCGAGCTTTTAACCACTGCACCACCAGGGCTCCGCTGTACATACAAAACAGCTTATCATTTGTAGATTTTAAGCAAAATCTGTTAGAAATGAAAATTATCACCTAAAAGTGAGATTTTAACATCTTCTCAGAAATTCACAGATCAAATAGACAAAAAGTAGTAAAGATGATAATTAAACAGCACAGATAATAAATTTAGCTCACGAATGTATGTGCATATATGTATGCCAGCCAGCGGTTCAGTGCTGGGCTGTGGAGCGGTGGGCTGTCGGGGCAGTGCTCTGTCTTCAGAGCCAGAAGCCTCTGTGCCTGAGGCGGACAGAGGAGAAGCACGTCCCGGGCTGAGATTCTGCTGTTTGTCTTTCTGCAGAAATCCGCGCTGATCGTCCGGGGGCCCCAGGAAGTGAAGAAGCGGGAGCTGGTCTTCCTGCAGTTCCGCCTGAACCAGAGCAGCGAGGACTTTAGTGCCATCGATTACCTTCTCTTCTCTTCCTACCAGGAGTTCTTGCAGAGGTGGTCCAGGGCATACCGCGGGCTCGCGCCGCACTTTGTCGTGTTCCACAGCCTTGCGTTTCCCCGGGCTGAGAAGCAGGTCGGGGCAGGGAGGTGGGCAGCCATATTACGCCATGGCACAGAAAAGGACCCCGGGAGCTCAGTGGGCCCACTCATCTGCCTCATGGTCTGGCTGACCTCATCGCAGACCATGTTCTGATGGCTTGCACAGAGCTGGTGGGGTCCGGAGAGATGTTTGGTTTGGCCCCTGCCAGGGGCTGCCAAGGAGAGGAAGCTGCCTTCCATTTTGTGACCCTTGAAGGCAGGCCCTCAGCACTCTGTAAGTGCTGCCCTTGCTCTTCATCTTCACTCGTCCCCAACCATCAGAGGCCCAGGTCTGCTCCCAGCATGCCGCCTGGGGTGGTGACGAGGGTCCCAACCATCAGAGGCTCTGGTCTGCTCCCAGCACACTGCCTGGGGTGTTGACAAGGGTCCTCGACCATCAGAGGCTCAGGTCTGCTCCCGGCACACCGCCTGGGGTGGTGACGAGGGTCCCGATCCTCAGAGGCTCAGGTCTGCTCCCAGCACACGGCCTGGGGTGGTGACGAGGGTCCCCGACCCTCAGGGGCTCAGGTCTGCTCCCGGCACACCGCCAGGGGTGGTGACGAGGGTCCCGACCCTCAGAGGCTCAGGTCTGCTCCC